AACACATTTAGCACTTTACAACAAATTCAACACCTTACAACACATTTAGCACTTTACAACAAATTCAACACCTTACAACACATTTAGCACTTTACAACAAATTCAACACCTTACAACACATTCAGCACCTTACAACAAATTCAACACCTTACAACAAATTCAACACCTTACAACACATTTAGCACCTTACAACACATTCAACATCTTACAACACATTTAGCACTTTACAACACATTCAATACCTTACAACACATTTAGCACTTTAACAAAAATTCAACACATTTAGCACTTTACAACAAATTCAACACCTTACTACACATTCAGCACCTTACAACAAATTCAACACCTTACAACACATTTAGCACTTTACAACACATTCAACACCTTATAAAACATTTAGCACTTTACAACAAATTCAACACCTTACAACACATTTAGCACTTTACAACACATTCAACACCTTACAACATATTCATCACTTTACAACACATTTAGCACTTTACAACACATTTAGCACTTTACAAAACATTCAATACCTTACAAAAAATTCAATACCTTACAACACATTTAGCACTTTATAACAAATTCACTACCTTACAACAAATTTAGCACTTTACAACACATTTAGCACTTTACAACACATTCAGCACTTTACAACACATTCAGCACTTTACAACACATTTAGCACTTTACAACACATTAAGCACTTTACAACACATTCAGCACTTTACAACACATTTAGCACTTTACAACACATTCAGCACTTTACAACACATTTAGCACTTTACAACAAATTCAACACCTTACAACACATTTAGCACTTTACAACAAATTCAACACCTTACAACACATTCAGCACCTTACAACAAATTCAACACCTTACAACACATTTAGCACCTTACAACACATTCAACATCTTACAACACATTTAGCACTTTACAACACATTCAACACCTTACAACACATTTAGCACTTTAACAAAAATTCAACACATTTAGCACTTTACAACAAATTCAACACCTTACTACACATTCAGCACCTTACAACAAATTCAACACCTTACAACACATTTAGCACTTTACAACACATTCAACACCTTACAACACATTTAGCACTTTACAACAAAATCAAAACCTTACAACACATTTAGCACTTTACAACAAAATCAACACCTTACAACACATTCAGCACCTTACAACAAATTCAACACCTTACAACACATTTAGCACTTTACAACACATTCAACACCTTATAAAACATTTAGCACTTTACAACAAATTCAACACCTTACAACACATTTAGCACTTTACAACACATTCAACACCTTACAACACATTTAGCACCTTACAACAAATTCAACACCTTACAACACATTCAACACCTTACAACACATTTAGCACTTTACAACAAATTCAACACCTTACAACACATTTTGCACTTTACAACACATTCAACACCTTACAACACATTTAGCACTTTACAAAACATTCAATACCTTACAAAAAATTCAATACCTTACAACACATTTAGCACTTTACAACAAATTCAACACCTTACAACACATTTAGCACTTTACAACAAATTCAACACCTTACAACACATTTAGCACTTTACAACAAATTCAACACCTTACAACACATTCAGCACCTTACAACAAATTCAACACCTTACAACAAATTCAACACCTTACAACACATTTAGCACCTTACAACACATTCAACATCTTACAACACATTTAGCACTTTACAACACATTCAATACCTTACAACACATTTAGCACTTTAACAAAAATTCAACACATTTAGCACTTTACAACAAATTCAACACCTTACTACACATTCAGCACCTTACAACAAATTCAACACCTTACAACACATTTAGCACTTTACAACACATTCAACACCTTATAAAACATTTAGCACTTTACAACAAATTCAACACCTTACAACACATTTAGCACTTTAACACAAATTCAACACCTTACAACACATTTAGCACTTTAACACAAATTCAACACCTTACAACAAATTTAGCACTTTACAACAAATTCAAAACCTTACAACACATTTAGCACTTTACAACAAATTCAACACCTTACAACACATTTAGCACTTTACAACACATTCAACACCTTACAACACATTTAGCACTTTACAAAACATTCAATACCTTACAACACATTTAGCACTTTACAACAAATTCAACACCTTACAACACATTTAGCACTTTACAACACATTTAGCACTTGAATACACATTCAGCACTTTACAACACATTTAGCACTTTACAACACATTCAGCACTTTACAACAAATTCAGCACTTTACAACACATTCAGCACTTTACAACACATTTAGCACTTTACAACACCTTACAACACATTCAGCACTTTACAACACTTTCAGCCCCTTACAACACATTCTTCTTACTTCATCTTCTTCACTTCTTCCTCTTCTTCCCCTTCTTCCTCTTCTTCCCTTCTTCCCTTCTTCCTCTTCTTCCTCTTCTTCCCCTTCTTCCTCTTATTCCTCATCTTCCCTTCTTTCCTTCTTCTTCCCCTTCTTCCCCTTCTTCTTCTTCCCCTTCTTCCCCTTCTTCTTCTTCCTCCTCCTCTTCCTTCTTCTTCTTTCCTCTTCTTCCCTTTTCTTTCTTCTTCCTTCTTCTTCCCCTTCCTCTTCCTTCTTCATCCCTAACCCTTCCAACATCTATGCAGCCACTCACAATGGCTTCAGCCATTGTACCATTTTCTTCTTCTTCTTCTTCTTCTTCTTCCACTTCCGCCAGATTTTGGCACTTTTCAACTCTTCAACGCTTTCACCAAATTCAACAAATTATACATCGTTACGACCGGCTTCACCGTCTCATTATTCTATTACTTTTTCACACTTCCACCTTTAGCACTTTTTCAGATATTAACAAAAGTTCAAGCACTTTTTCCCATGACTTACATTGGACCAGTACAACAGATTACTCCCCATACAACACATTACCACACTAACAATTCATTACCACAGATACAATACATTACAACATCTTACAAACTTATAGCACCTTACAACACATTTAGCACTTTACAACAAATTCAACACATTTAGCACTTTACAACACATTCAACACCTTACAACACATTTAGCACTTTACAACAAATTCAACACCTTACAACACATTCCACACCTTACAACAAATTCAACACATTTAGCACTTTACACAACAATTCAACACCTTACACAACACATTTACACCTTACAACAATTCAACACCTTACAACACATTAGCACTTACAACAAATTCAACACCTTACAACACATTTAGCACTTTACAACAACATTACAACACATTTAGCACTTTACAACAAATTAACTACACACTCTTACAACACATTCAGCACTTACAACAAATTCAACACCTTACAACACATTTAGCACTTAAACAATTCACACCTTACAACACATTAGCACTTTACACACATTACATTACAACATATTAAACCTTACAACACATTTAGCACTTTAACACAAATTCAACACCTTACAACACATTTAGCACTTTAACACAAATTCAACACCTTACAACACATTTAGCACTTTACAACAAATTCAACACCTTACAACACATTCAGCACTTTACAACACATTCAGCACTTTACAACACATTTAGCACTTTACAACACTTTCAGCACTTTACAACACATTCAGCCCCTTACAACACATTCTTCCTACTTCATCTTCTTCACTTCTTCTCTCTTCCCTTCTTTCTCTTCTTTCTTTCTTCTCTTCTTCCCCTTTTCCTCTTCTTCCTCTTCTTCCTCTTCTTCCCTTCTTCTTCTCCTCTTCTTCCTTCTTCTTCTTCTTCCTCTTCTTCCCTTCTTCCTCTTCTTCCCTTCTCTTCCCTTCTTCTTCTTCCTTCCTTCTCTTCCTTCTTCTTCTTTCCTCTTCTTCCCTTTTCTTTCTTCTTCCTTCTTCTTCCCCTTCCTCTTCCTTCTTCATCCCTAACCCTTCCAACATCTATGCAGCCACTCACAATGGCTTCAGCCATTGTACTATTTCTAGTTGAGTTGGCTGCATAGACTATGCAGCCACTATATGCTCTCCTACTGTTTATTTTCTTCTTCTTCTTCTTCTTCTTCTTCTTCTTCTCTTCTTCTTCTTCTTCCACTTCCGCCAGATTTTGGCACTTTTCAGCTCTTCAACGCTTTCACCAAATTCAACAAATTATACATCGTTACGACCGGCTTCACCGTCTCATTATTGCTATTACTTTTCACACTTCCACCTTTAGCACTTTTTCAGATATTAACAAAAGTTCAAGCACTTTTTCCCCATAGACTTACATTGGACCAGTACAACAGATTACTCCCCATACAACACATTACCACACTAACAATTCATTACCACAGATACAATACATTACAACATCTTACAACACTTACAGCACCTTACAACACATTTAGCACTTTACAACAAATTCAACACCTTACAACACATTTAGCACTTTACAACAAATTCAACACATTTAGCACTTTACAACAAATTCAACACCTTACAACACATTCAGCACCTTACAACACATTCAACACCTTACAACACATTTAGCACTTTACAACAAATTCAACACCTTACAACACATTTAGCACTTTACAACAAATTCAACACCTTACAACACATTTAGCACTTTACAACAAATTCAACACCTTACAACACATTCAGCACCTTACAACAAATTCAACACTGTACAACACATTTAGCACTTTACAACACATTCAACACCTTACAACACATTTAGCACTTTACAACAAATTCAACACATTTAGCACTTTACAACACATTCAACACCTTACAACACATTTAGCACTTTACAACACATTTAGCACTTTACAACAAATTCAACACCTTACAACACATTTAGCACTTTACAACAAATTCAACACCTTTCAACACATTTAGCACTTTACAACGTATTTAGCACTTTACAACACATTCAGTCCCTTACAACACATTCTTCTTACTTCTTCCTATTCTTCCCCTTCTTCCTCTTCTTTCCCTTCTTCCCCTTCTTCCTCTTCTTCCTCATCTTCCTGTTCTTCCCCTTCTTCCTCTTCTTCCCCTTCTTCCTCTTCTTCCTCTTCTTCCCCTTCTTCCTCTTCTTCCTGTTCTTCCTCTTCTTTCCCTTTTTCCTCTTCTTCCCCTTCTTCCTCTTCTTCCCCTTCTTCCTCTTCTTCCTCTTCTTCCTCTTCTTCCCCTTTTTCCTCTTCTTGCTCTTCTTCCTCTTCTTTCCCTTTTTCCTCTTCTTCCCCTTCTTCCTCTTCTTCCTCTTCTTCCCCTTTTCCTCTTCTTCCCCTTCTTCCTCTTCTTCTCCTTCTTCCCCTTCTTCTTCTTCCTCCTCCTCTTCCTTCTTCGTCTTTCCCCTTCTTCCCTTTTCTTTCTTCTTCCTTCTTCTTCCTTCTTCATCCCTAACCCTTCCAACATCTATGCAGCCACTCACAATGGCTTCAGCCATTGTACCATTTCTAGTTGAGTGGCTGCATAGACTATGCAGCCACTATATGCTCTCCTACTGTTTATTCTTCTTCTTCTTCTTCCACTTCCGCCAGATTTTGGCACTTTTCAACTCTTCAACGCTTTCACCAAATTCAACAAATTATACATCGTTACGACCGGCTTCACCGTCTCATTATTGCTATTACTTTTCACACTTCCACCTTTAGCACTTTTTCAGATATTAACAAAAGTTCAAGCACTTTTTCCCATTGACTCACATTGGACCAGTACAACAGATTACTCCCCATACAACACATTACCACACTAACAATTCATTACCACAGATACAATACATTGCAACATCTTACAACACTTATAGCACCTTACAACACATTTAGCACTTTACAACAAATTCAACACCTTACAACACATTTAGCACTTTACAACAAATTCAACACCTTACAACACATTTAGCACTTTACAACAAATTCAACACCTTACAACACATTCAGCACCTTACAACAAATTCAACACCTTACAACACATTTAGCACTTTACAACAAATTCAACACCTTACAACACATTCAGCACCTTACAACAAATTCAACACCTTACAACACATTTAGCACTTTACAACAAATTCAACACCTTACAACACATTTAGCACTTTACAACAAATTCAACACCTTACAACACATTTAGCACTTTACAACAAATTCAACACCTTACAACACATTTAGCACTTTACAACAAATTCAACACCTTACAACACATTTAGCACTTTACAACAAATTCAACACCTCACAACACATTTAGCACTTTAAAACACATTTAGCACTTTACAACAAATTCAACACCTTACAACACATTCAGCACCTTACAACAAATTCAACACCTTACAACACATTTAGCACTTTACAACAAATTCAACACCTTACAACACATTCAGCACCTTACAACAAATTCAACACCTTACAACACATTTAGCACTTTACAACAAATTCAACACCTTACAACACATTTAGCACTTTACAACAAATTCAACACCTTACAACACATTTAGCACTTTACAACAAATTCAACAAATTCAACACCTTACAACACATTTAGCACTTTACAACAAATTCAACACCTTACAACACATTTAGCACTTTACAACAAATTCAACACCTTACAACACATTCAGCACCTTACAACAAATTCAACACCTTACAACACATTTAGCACTTTACAACAAATTCAACACCTTACAACACATTCAGCACCTTACAACAAATTCAACACCTTACAACACATTTAGCACTTTACAACAAATTCAACACCTTACAACACATTTAGCACTTTACAACAAATTCAACACCTTACAACACATTTAGCACTTTACAACAAATTCAACACCTTACAACACATTTAGCACTTTACAACAAATTCAACACCTTACAACACATTTAGCACTTTACAACAAATTCAACACCTTACAACACATTTAGCACTTTAAAACACATTTAGCACTTTACAACAAATTCAACACCTTACAACACATTCAGCACCTTACAACAAATTCAACACCTTACAACACATTTAGCACTTTACAACAAATTCAACACCTTACAACACATTCAGCACCTTACAACAAATTCAACACCTTACAACACATTTAGCACTTTACAACAAATTCAACACCTTACAACACATTTAGCACTTTACAACAAATTCAACACCTTACAACACATTTAGCACTTTACAACACATTTAGCACTTTACAACACATTCAGCACTTTACAACACATTTAGCACTTTACAACACATTTAGCACTTTACAACACATTTAGCACTTTACAACACATTCAGCACTTTACAACACACTCAGCACTTTACAACACATTTAGCACTTTACAACACCTTACAACACATTCAGCACTTTCCAACACTTTCAGCTCCTTACAACACATTCTTCTTACTTCATCTTCTTCACTTCTTCCTCTTCTTCCCCTTCTTCCTCTTCTTTCTCTTCCTCCCCTTCTTCCCCTTCTTCCTCTTCATCCTCTTCTTCCCCTTCTTCCTCTTCTTCCTCTTCTTCCTCCTCTTCCTTCTTCTTCTTTCCTCTTCTGCCCTTTTCTTTCTTCTTCTTCCCCTTCCTCTTCCATCCCTAACCCTTCCAACATCTATGCAGCCACTCACAATGGCTTCAGCCATTGTACCATTTCTAGTTCTTCTTCTTCTTCTTCTTCTTCCACTTCCGCCAGATTTTGGCACTTTTCAACTCTTCAACGCTTTCACCAAATTCAACAAATTATACATCGTTACGACCGGCTTCACCGTCTCATTATTGCTATTACTTTTCACACTTCCACCTTTAGCACTTTTTCAGATATTAACAAAAGTTCAAGCACTTTTTCCCATAGACTTACATTGGACCAGTACAACAGATTACTCCCCATACAACACATTACCACACTAACAATTCATTACCACAGATACAATACATTACAACATCTTACAACACTTACAGCACCTTACAACACATTTAGCACTTTACAACAAATTCAACACATTTAGCACTTTACAACAAATTCAACACCTTACAACACATTTAGCACCTTACAACACATTCAACACCTTACAACACATTTAGCACTTTACAACAAATTCTAACACATTTAGCACTTTACAACACATTCAACACCTTACAACACATTTAACACTTTACAACAAATTCAACACCTTACAACACATTCAGCACCTTACAACAAATTCAACACCTCACAACACATTTAGCACTTTACAACAAATTCTAACACATTTAGCACTTTACAACAAATTCAACACTTTACAACACATTCAGCACTTTAACACAAATTCAACACCTTACAACACATTTAGCACTTAAACACAAATTACACACTTAGCACTTTACAACAAATTCAACACTTTACAACACATTCAGCACTTTAACACAAATTCAACACCTTACAACCAGGGACGTGCGGTGAGGTTTGTGATTGGGGAGGCACTGACTTTAAATGTCAGATTTACAATCATTATTCAAATAAAATAGCATTTAATCACCAATGCAATGACATCCACAAACTTTATATACTGTAAAGATAAGAGAACCAGCTTCTTTTAATAATCTCACAACAAATCTAGCTGCTGACTCTGCTCCGCATCAAACAACATCTTTAAGAAGCGCAGGTGCGAGAGACGCGAGGAGAGAGAGACGCGAGGAGAGAGGAGCAGAGAGAGACAGAGAGGAGCAGAGAGACGGAGACGCGAGGAGCAGAGAGAGACAGAGAGGAGCAGAGAGACGGAGACGCGAGGAGAGAGAGACGCGAGGAGAGAGAGACGCGAGGAACATAAACAATAATTTAAACAAGTTGCAGAACTCTTGAGCAGTGTTTGAATCAGTGTTTTTCGGAAAAGCACTACTTTGCCGGTATCTGTCAATGTTCAACATAAAACACAGATTAACAAACTCCTCCCCCGCAGCCGGACTAACCTCGTAAGTCCAGTGGTGGTCTCCCAGTCTATATTAATTCTTTCTTTGTTTGAAAGTCCAATTGAGAAAAAAAATCTTCATTCAAATCATCCATTTTCCAGCAAAAGAAATAGCATTTTGGGCTGATTGTTTGTTAGCAACTCTGGTATGAACTTTATGCTCACTATCACCCCTAGCGGTGAGGCACAGATACCGCCTGCCTCACGCCAAGCTTTTTCCTTGTGTGTTCATCTACGATCAAAAGACTTAAACTAAATATAAATTGTACACACATACGTGCAATACACTACTAAACACTAAGAGGAGTTTAAAAAATGTTTTTAAAGCAGGATATTTGAAACAAACGGTGATATATCAACTGCACGAGCTGAGTGCACTCAGACACACACACACACACTGTGAGGGAGCGGTCTGGGGTGAGGCACGCAGGAGCGCTGCCTCACCTCGTCTCTTTGAATAGGAATAACGGGATTTCGGCGATTTTGACTTCAGAAATGATCAAAACTGATGGGAACCGTGCCGAATATACATTAAAAGCATAGGACAGTGGATATAAATTATATATTTAAACTAAAATAATTATTAGTTTCCAATAATGGCAGGTGAGGCTCTGCCTCCCCTGCCTCCCCTGACTGCACGTCCCTGCTTACAACACATTTAGCACTTTAACACAAATTCAACACCGTACAACACATTTAGCACTTTACAACAAATTCAACACCTTACAACACATTCAGCACTTTACAACACATTCAGCACTTTACAACACATTTAGCACTTTACAACACTTTCAGCACTTTACAACACTTTCAGCCCCTTACAACACATTCTTCTTACTTCATCTTCTTCACTTCTTCCTCTTCTTCCCCTTCTTTCTCTTCTTTCTATTCTTCCTCTTCTTCCCCTTTTTCCTCTTCTTCCTCTTCTTCCTCTTCTTCCCCTTCTTCCTCTTCTTCCTCTTCTTCCTCTTCTTCCTCTTCTTCCTCTTCTTCCCCTTCTTCCTCTTCTTCCCCCTTCTTCCCCTTCTTCCCCTTCTTCTTCTTCCTCCTCCTCTTCCTTCTTCTTCTTTCCTCTTCTTCCCTTTTCTTTCTTCTTCCTTCTTCTTCCCCTTCCTCTTCCTTCTTCATCCCTAACCCTTCCAACATCTATGCAGCCACTCACAATGGCTTCAGCCATTGTACCATTTCTAGTTCCGTCTTTTTCCTGATTTTTGACACGTTTCACAGCTTTCACATTTTCAACAATTTCCACAAGTTATACATCAAAACGTTCCACATGTTTGGGAGATTATTGCTATTACTTTTGGGACTTCAGCGATTTCCGGTTTTTCCGCAATCGGACAAAAATCTGTCGATTTTTCCCATTGACTTATAATGGGGCTTCCACAAATTCATAGTTTTCAGAATTTTCTTCAACATTTTCAGCATTTTCTGCAGTTTGTGCATGTTCAGCTTCCACAACTTGTGAGTTTTCAGAAAAAATTAGAGTTCTGCAGTTTTCCAGTTTTTTTCTACGGGCTTGGGAATTCTGCCATTAATTTGCATTGAGAATTCTGCAATGCATTTTAATAGGCCCATGCATTTTAATAGGACTTCAGCTCTTTCAGACATTTCTACAGTTTCAATGATTCAACAGTTTCAATGATTCAACAGTTTCAAGGATTCAACAGTTTCAAGGATTCAACAGTTTCAAGGACTTCAGCAGTTTCAAGATTTCAAGAGTTTCAAGGACTTCAACAGTTTCAAGGACTTCAACAGTTTCAAGGACTTCAGCAGTTTCAAGGACTTCAGCAGTTTCAAGGACTTCAGCAGTTTCAAGGACTTCAGCAGTTTCAAGGACTTCAGCAGTTTCAAGGTTTCCACAGTTTCAAGGTTTCCACAGTTTCAAGGTTTCAACAATTTCAAGGTTTCAACAGTTTCAAGGTTTCAACAGTTTCAAGGTTTCAACAGTTTCAAGGACTTCAACAGTTTCAAGGTTTCAACAGTTTCAAGGTTTCAACAGTTTCAAGGACTTCAGTGTAATCAGTATAATGCAACTTAATAGGGATTTTTCCATGTAAACCAGTATAATGCAACCTAATAGGGATTTTTCCATGTAAACCAGTATAATGCAACTTAATAGGGGTTTTTACATGTAAACCAGTATAATGCAACTTAATAGGGTTTTTTCCATGTAAACCAGTATAATGCAACTTAATAGGGATTTTTCCATGTAAACCAGTATAATGCAACTTAATAGGGTTTTTTTCATGTAAACCAGTATAATGCAACTTAATGGGGATTTTTCCATGTAAACCAGTATAATGCAACTTAATAGGGTTTTTTTCATGTAAACCAGTATAATGCAACTTAATGGGGATTTTTCCATGTAAACCAGTATAATGCAACTTAATAGGGTTTTTTTTACATGTAAACCAGTATAATGGAACTTAATAGGGTTTTTTCCATGTAAACCAGTATAATGCAACTTAATAGGGATTTTTCCATGTAAACCAGTATTATGCAACTTAATAGGGATTTTTCCATGTAAACCAGCATAATGCAACTTAATAGGGTTTTTTTCATGTAAACCAGTATAATGCAACTTAATAGGGTTTTTACATGTAAACCAGTATAATGCAACTTAATAGGGTTTTTTTTACATGTAAACCAGTATAATGGAACTTAATAGGGTTTTTTCCATGTAAACCAGTATAATGCAACTTAATAGGGATTTTTCCATGTAAACCAGTACAATGCAACTTAATAGGGATTTTTCCATGTAAACCAGTATAATGCAACTTAATAGGGTTTTTTTCATGTAAACCAGTATAATGCAACTTAATGGGGATTTTTCCATGTAAACCAGTATTATGCAACTTAATAGGGATTTTTCCATGTAAACCAGTATAATGCAACTTAATAGGGTTTTTTTCATGTAAACCAGTATAATGCAACTTAATAGGGTTTTTACATGTAAACCAGTATAATGGAACTTAATAGGGGTTTTTACATGTAAACCAGTATAATGGAACTTAATAGGGGTTTTTACATGTAAACCAGTATAATGCAACTTAATAAGGATTTTTACATGTAAACCACTATAATGTAACCTAATAGGGGTTTTTACATGTAAACCAGTTTAAAGCAACTTAATAGGGATTTGTACATGTAAACCAGTATAATGCAACCTAATAGGGATTTTTCCATGTAAACCAGTATAATGCAACTTAATAGAGATTTTTCCATGTAAACCAGTGTAATGCAACTTAATAGGGATTTTTCCATGTAAACCAGTATAATGCAACCTAATAGGGATTTTTCCATGTAAACCAGTATAATGCAACCTAATAGGTTGCATTATACCACCAGACCAAGACCCAAACGAAGACTCAGACCACCACCAGATAATGACCACAGACCAGGTTTCCTTAGTTACAGGAACCAAATTGTTTCAGCGGTGAGGGGATTTTTCAGTTTCAAGGACACTTTCAATACATTCAGTAGTTTCAAGGATTTCAACTGTTTAAGAATTTAACCAGTTTCAAGGATATCAGGAGGTTCAAGGATTTCAGGAGTTTCCACACTTTCAACAGTTTCCAGGTTTAAAAAAGTTTCAAGGATTTCAGGAGTTTCAATGTTTCAACAGTTTCAAGGATTTCAGGAGTTTAAAGGTTTCAACAATTTCAAGGACTTCAGGAGTTTCAAATATCTATCAAGTATTTTAACAGTTTCAAGGCCTTTTAAAGGATTTCAAGGATTTTTTTTAGCAGATTTCCACATTAGATCTGTTCCGCAGTCAATCGCAATGGCTTCAGCCATTGCAAGTTTCTAGTTGTTCTTAGTAATATTATTTGTATGGGTAGTAACGTTCTTAATAAGTGAGTAACAACAATCATTGTACACATGCTGTGTAGTAAACGTAATTTATTTAATATAAGAACAAGCTGACGATGAGTCTGGCTCAGAGCGAGAGCGAGGCAGCTCCAGGCGGGCAGAGGAGAGCTCCAGGGGGGAGAGGCGAGAGCGAGGTGGGGAGAGGCAGGGAGAGGCGAGTTCCGGGGATTGGGAACTCAGACTGGGCGAGTGACATGCGGAAGTACCGCTGAAAGCGAAACTTCTCCGTACGGAGCTCCTGGAGTAAATGACGAAACACTGCAGCCTCTCAAGTCTGTGGTGAACCCAGAGCATATTTTGTAGAAACCCCCTTTGACAATGTTATTTGGCTTTATATAACAAATAAAGGCTCGCTGCTCTCTGGAAATCCACCGCTGTCCTGCAACAGAAAAGCTCCTCCCACCGGCGGCGGGCGCGTCACTTGCGTCAAAAGCTTCAAGCACCAAAATGACAAAAATAACCCGGCGTCAGTTGAAGCGCGTCAAAAGCTTTTTGAAGCTTTTGGTCTGAACGCGCCTTTACTCTGGGTACAGGCACGGATCACAAAGCAACCTGTCACAGCCATGCTTTGAACTCCATCATGGATCTATAAGAATAACATGCATCATGTCTCTGATGCCAAATGCTGCAGCTGTTTTGCGAGCAAACGTCACCACATACGGCACTAACACACGCTTAAAAAAACCTGTAAATTACTGACGTATGCTTTGAAGCTTCCACACGTTCAGAACATACTTGCGCCCGGGTGTTTCATGTACTGTATGGCTGTCTACAATTTCAGCCAAAGCCACCCCCAGAAACAACAATTGACACTCTAGAGCAGCATCAACTGAAACTGGAGGAGATTTACAGACAGGAAGGTACAGGTGGAGCAGAAAGGGCAGAAGTAAAAAATCTCAGTAGTTATGGTGGTGAGGACCAAAGAACACCTGAAGACCTCTTTTCCTGCCTTTTATTTGTCTGGTGGGGTGCTTCAGAATGTAGAGAAGGCCAAATACCTGGGGCACATAATCAGGAGTGACCTCAGTGATGACGATGACATCCAGAGGCAGTACTGTAAGCAGTATGGACAGGCTAACACTTTGGTAGGGAGATTTCACATGTGTACAGATAAATTGAAAATAACTTTGTTTAAAGCCTACTGAACACCGCTCTATACTGCCCACTTGTGGTGCAGATACAGTAAGAGTAAGTTAAAGAAGCTGCAGGTTGCATATAATGATGCACTTAGAATTTTACTGAAAGTCCCTTGTTGGACTAGTGCCAGCTCACTGTTTGTTCTTAAAAATGTCCCCACTCTGACTGCTGTGATCAGAAACTGTATTTATAAGTTCATGAAACACTCTGAGGACTCTTTAAAATTTAATAATGAATGTTTTTACTGTACAGAGCAGTGTTAGGCACACCTCTGAACTCTGGAGGCATTGGAGAAGCTGTCTTTATAGAATTTTTTAAATATTGAATGTTTGTGTGTTTTTTTGTCTCTTTTGTTTTATATGGACCCTTTGTGTGTCTGAATTAAAGATTAAATAAAAAAATAAAAAATAATGGAGCTTACATTTTCTCTACAACGTCACCATATAAATACTCTGCTACCACCTGAGATGGAACATTTGAAAAGCACATGGCCTTTTCTTTTCATGCCAAGATATCAGTACACACATTTTGAATTGCTCACCAACATCGTAGCATCGAACTTAGTATTAAGAAGTGTGGCCAAGCCATCGTGGAATACTTCAAAGGAAAACCTACCAACAAAGATGTGAAGGATATCCTCTCTAATGGTCAAGACAACGAGATGGCTCTTCGTGTTGTTCAGCTGCTCATGGCACACTTTGGAGGGGACCTGAATGAGCTGATCCTTTGTACAGATGTACATTTTTGTTTTTCTATTTAACCATGTGTTTTATCAATCAATCAATCAATCAAAGTTTATTTGTAGAGCGCCTTTCATACACAGGGCAACACAAAGCGCTTCACAGTCCACATCACAAATCATCACATAAAACAAACACCAGAATCACAATTAAAACATTAAAATCACACAAAAGATTAAAACACAATTAAAACATTAAAATCACACAAAGAATAAAACCATTAAAACTTTCAAAATTACACAAGAAATTTAAAAAATTAAATAAATGACAGCAGTGCATTAGAAATGGAGATAAAATCCTTCAGTTGTATGCACAGGCAAACAGAACAGTCTTTAACCTGGATTTGAACATTGACAGAGTAGACGCCTCCCTCACATTTTCAGGGAGATTGTTCCAGATCTTAGCTGCATAGATCTGAAACGCAGCCTCCCCATGTTTGGTTCTCACTCTGGGCACCAGCAGGAGGCCAGTCCCTGTGCTCCTCAGAGTCCGGGCCGGTTCATATGACACCAACATGTCACTAATGTATTCTGGTGCAAGGCCATGGAGAGACTTGTACACAAGCAGAGCTGTTTTAAAATCTATTCTTTTAAAGGGTAACTCCACTAGCTTTGAGTGTCCAGACTTCTAGTGTGTACTAGCTGTTTTTACATATGTGAAAATAGCAGCATAAATTAGTTTGTGGTCAAAGGGAAGCTGCGTTGTATGCTGATTACCTCCATGTTGTCACACAGCAGGGTGAAGAAGGTCCAAAGTATTTCACTTTTCTTAATCTTATGACACTGATCAATGTTTTAAAAGCAAAAGTGATTAAGTCAGCACAGCAGAAGTAGATTAATTCCCTTATTCCGCATCATTTTTCCAAACCTTGTCTCTATTGCCCACTATGCAACTTGATCAGAGAGTAACATCACTGGAGGCTCATATGAGAATTTTGCAGTTTCCTCATCACAATATACAAAAATCATAATGCATTGTACTCTACAGGTGTCCGCTGCTGCGTTTGACGTTGAGACAACTCTTAGTCTTCCTGCAAGTCCTCGTCTATTATATTAATTGATAGACACATCATTTTTCATATTAGTGATTCAATGTCAGGTAACATGCATTCTCTTGTTGCTATGAATTTAAGTCTCAGGGAAAACAGGGTACAATGGAAGGTTGGATGATGACCATGGAGTCCCGTGTAATCTGTGAGGGCATCACACTATCGTTTGCAACTTGACTCGCTGCTTTGTTCGCAGTATACTACATATTCAACCTGTAGTATCAGGAAAAGGCTGCCTGCACTTTGGAATTCATTCAGAGGTAAAATACCTTATTTGAATATACAACAAAATCAATGTATTTATATTTTGATTGAAATGGTAATAATATTGCACATTTAGGTTGTGTTATGTATCTATTTGATGCTACTTCTATTTGTCATTCACTTACACACTATCTGTGCAGGGAAGAATAACAAAAGACCAAACATTGCAACAAGGATGTTCCAGTCTGATCTGAGAATATTTTGATTTCAGGCGCTTCATTGGCATAAATCTAGAGAGAGGAACAAAGGCCAAAAGGGGCAAAATATAATCTAAGAAAAAAGGTGTAATCGTCCAGAAGAAGTCCTCTGCAGTCAACACACACGTCGCCATGCTACTGAAAAATTGAATGGACTTTGAATGGAACTTCATATGGATCGGTAAGCTCTTAAATGTATTCCTCCTTATTTTGACAGTTTGACATTGCCATATATAGCCCAAAAAACTGGCATTACTATATCCTTTGTGTTTACTGAGCATTTCTGATTGAACAGTTTATTCATTGTAATGATTATGATTGTTGTTCTTTCACAGAGGAAACACCTGAATGATGCCGCAGAGAGGAACAGCGGCTACCAAAGTGACTGACTGTGACGGCCCCCTCTGCTGGGCCTGTGGTGGCAGTGTTCGTATGACATTCTGAGATGATGGGAGGCAGCTGGGAAGTCATGTAACCTCCCGGATGCTTCAAAAAGTGGCTTCCCCTCATTCTTTCGCTCTCACCTGGCTTCTGGGCACCTGCTGGCGTGCCCGGACTGCCGCTACCATTCTGGGCCCTGTTGGACCAGCCGCCACGCCAGTTTGTCTTTTCATTTGCACGCACTACAACACAACATTTGCACTATAACGGTTGTCCTACTGACTTTCATATACAACACCTTGCACCCCACAGCATACCATTCACTTACACTGATTTCATACAGATTACTTTATTATTGTTTAAATAAATGCCTCACAGAGGGTTTCAATCTCTCAGTTTGTTGTGTCCTCCCTCTCATGTTATGGTCTCACGAGCCGGGCCGTAAAACTGACCAATAAGACATGAAAGTAAAGTCTACCTCACTGGACATTTAAGAGGTAAGCTGCAGCTACTGTAGCAATGGCACAACTTTCAGTTTATTTTTATTTTTGCATATTATTGATGCATAGAGTCAAAATGTTTTACTCTACTCTCATAGTTTCAAAGTGGTCTTAATGCACCTGTTTAACATTTTGTGTTAGCTGTTCTTATGGTGTGACACGGCATGTATTGATTTTTCATGTAGTGATTAATGTGGAAATGTTTCGCTTGTTTTCCCCATTACCATGTTTGAATGAATATGTTAAAATTTACAAGAAGCTTTTTTTATGATTTATATTTACATATCCATGTCAACGTTTGAGGACTTTTAATATCTTCATTTTGAAAAATATTTTTCATAGGGATCTTAAACATCTTAATCCCAGTATAATTTATTGAGTTTTGAAACCCAAAAAACAAGATTTTGTAGTAGAAAATAAAGAAAATGTTTGTCATTGTATGTATGTTGAAGAAAAACTTTCAAAAACCTGTCCTCATATTCATGACAATAACCCACTAAGCAAGCCGACGTTGAATCAACGTAATTTGAACGTCGTTGTCCGACGTAGAATATAGGTCACTGGTGGGTGCAGAATGAAAGTTTTCTCGACGTCATTTCCCGACGTCACCTCAACCTCCAAATGTTACGTTGATGGCACGTCAATTCAAGGTTGCAATGTGGTACAGAACCGGTCGGGTCTGACGTCCTCTCGACGTCTTATATGACCAAAATATTGACGTTTATATGACGTTCGTTTTCAGTCGTTCCCACTAAGCAAGCAGATGTCAAAACAACGTAATTCCAACGTCATCTGGACGTTCATTCAAGGTTGCAATGTGGTACAGAACCGGTCGGGTCCGACGTCCTCTCGACGTCTTATATGACCAAAATATTGACGTTTATATGACGTTCGTTTTCAGTCGTTCCCACTAAGCAAGCAGATGTCAAAACAACGTAATTCCAACGTCATCTGGACGTTCATTCAAGGTTGTAATGTGGTACAGAACCAGTCGGGTCCGACGTCCTCTCGACGTCTTATATGACCAAAATATTGACGTTTATATGACGTCCATTTACAGTCCTATTGACCTCTGTAGAATGACTTAATAGTCGAGACATACTTTTTGCAATAGGCAAGGCAAGTTTATTTGTATAGCACAGTCAAAACAAAAGGAAACTCAAAGCACTGAACAAAAGATAGAAACAATCAAACAAGGCATTACAATTATAAATATTGACAGTAAATTAAAAAGATACAAATAAAATCTCTCAAAAAATCTCTCAGTTGAAGCAGAAACAGAAGTGTTTTAAACCTGGAGTTTAACATTGTCAAAGAAGAAGCCTGTCTCACATTTCCAGGAAGACCGTTCCAGATTTTAGCCTTGTGAATCTGAAATGCAGCTATATCATGTTTAGTTCTGACTCTGGGCAATAAACGATAAACACAGCATTCAAAAATCATTAGAACAACTGTAGTAGAAGGATATCAGTCATTATTGCAAATGGAGCTGCATTAAAAATCATGTTTCTCTACATCAAAGTACAAGTTAAACCACACAGGGCACAGTGTTATGAACACTACTGTACTGAACAGTTCATGCCAAAGTAAAAAAACATGATTGTAGCACCTATGTTTGGATCAGTATTAAAACAGGCACAAGCTACACTCTAGGTTCCTCAGATGTAAAAACACAATCTGAAAGGCAGAAGAATGCATTTATTGAATGTTGATGTTCCAACATGTGTCCTCTCTTGGTCTTCAGTCTCTCATCACAAGGTCCAAGCACAGCACCTGGAAATGTGGAACATGTTTAGTTTCAACATAATGTGGCAAAGTGATATAACAACACATAACTTTCTATTAATGCCTCAAACCACTCGATCCGTCACCATGTGATACAAACCTTGGCACTGCACTAGCTCGAGACACTGGAAGACACTCAGTCTGAGAAACTTGGGATAAGGCTTTGGTCATTGGAGTAATTCCATGTAAAAAACAATTGCAAATGTGCATTTGTTTTGCACATGGACACAAATGAGCCCTGAAAGCTACTTACCCTGTATTACTCTACACATGTCGCATTTCCGAGGGGGCATTTTCCCCTTGTTGCTCTTTTCCCTCATCATGAGTGAGTTGCTGAACAATCTGAGAAAAAGATAGATGTTTTCAAAGAGAATACACCAAATAATGGTTTATTCTAAAAACAACATATTAATACAGAACAACAATCAATGTGTGAGAGTGTGATTCTTACCTTTGAACACCTTCAACACAGTCTGACACCTGTAAGACTCAAACACACATGACACATTAGGAATACACATAGAACATTAGTTATTGCAACAATCATGAAATTATACTCTATGGATTTCACAAAAAATTGACTGCATTAGCAAAGGTAAATGTATTTTAATTATCATATGGCTGGTTTTAATGTTTATAAGAAAAAGTAAGAAATTGAATAGAGTTGCAAGCGCTAGTTAGCTTGCTACCAGCAGATGAATGGATGTTTAATATTTGCAGCTAACAATAACAAAAATAACGACTGTAGTGGCTCATTTAAACAGCCACAGTGAGAAGAAGTGAAAGTCTCTGACATTGAAGACCTGGGAAGACATTAAATCCATTTATTAAACAAAGCAATACATGAACATTAAACTCTCTTTCTGCAGCAGGTAACATCTGTGTGCTCCTATGGTCCCTATGGTCCCACATGGTCCCACACCTGAACTCAACTCCAACTGATGACATCACAGGTGTCTAAATGATGGGAGTGTCCCAAATATTAAAGCTGATCTCCCTGTTTTTAAACTTAGTTTACTAAGTACTGTTGTCTTTTTGCAGTTTATAAACCATTGTGAAATATACAGTAACTTTACATTTTAGAATTGAATTATTATTTTAAAACTCAAGAATCTTAACCTTTTTTAACACATAGTTTGTTGGACAGTCTAACCTAAGAATTCTAATGTGTTAAAAATAGTTTGAAATATGAAAAACAATATCATATTTTAAACTTTAACTTAAAAACAAAAAATAATAGGAAAAAGATAACAGATAAGTAATTCCAGCTTAAAAGAAGCCGTGCAGATTTGTACATTAGAATAAAAAATATTCAAAAGCAGCTGAGAACAGGTGGGTCTTTAACCTGGATGTAAACAAACTGAGTGTTTCAGCTGATCTGAGGCTTTCTGGGAGTTTGTTCCAGACATGTGGAGCATAGAAGCTGAATGCAGCTTCTCCGTGTCTGGTTCTGACTCTGGACTCGGATCCAGATGACATGAGGGGTTCTGGTTGGTTCATAAGTTATGAACAAGGCACTCAAACAACACTTTTGCACATGTTCGTTAAGGCACAGCAAACAGTGACAATCTTATCTAAAGGCATTAGGTTTTCACCCTCACATTTGAGAAGCATATGCACAGGTACAGTTGAGTGTAAGAATTTGAATTTGTTGCGCACAACACCAATCACCCTCTCAACGTGAATTCTGAGATGGAAGGTCTAATCTGAGGCGCATTACAGTCAATAGGACAAGCTGGAAGGGTGAGAGCTTCCTCATCCTTCCTTGAGGCAGCTGCTGGGCCGGCGATGGGGGCTGCTGGGCTTGGGCTGGCGATGGAGGCTGCTGGGCTTGGGCTGGTGATGGAGGCTGCTGGGCTTGGGCTGGCGATGGAGGCTGCTGGGCTTGGGCTGGTGATGGAGGCTGCTGGGCTTGGGCTGGTGATGGAGGCTGCTGGGCTTGGGCTGGCGATGGAGGCTGCTGGGCTTGGGCTGGTGATGGAGGCTGCTGGGCTTGGGCTGGCGATGGAGGCTGCTGGGCTTGGGCTGGTGATGGAGGCTGCTGGGCTTGGGCTGGGAGTGATGACTGCTCCAGATTAGAGCCCTGCACTTGAGCCCTTGGCCCGAGGGCCCCGACGGCCCGACAGCCCGAGGGCCGGGCTTCGGGCCGATGACCGCATAATGACCTCGGACACGGGCTCTTCATTTTCAGAGCGGCAGAATAGATTTACGAACGCACCCACTGAATATAGCGTTCTATCACGCTGTAGTGTTTGTTGTTCTGTGTAGTGTTGTCATTGACGACACATAGCATTACTTACAGGTGTGTTGCAGCATCTGGGCATCATACAGATGCGGCCGTTCACTCCGCACCCCTCCGCACACACAGAACTCATTGCAACACATCACTACCATGTATAACTCCGCCCTCTAGCTAAGTCTGCGTTCATATCAGTGCGCGGCACTATATACTACGATAAAACATTGTTATGGGAGGTTACAAAAAAAAAAAAACGGCGGGCTTGATGCGGGTTTCGGGCCTGAAAATTGAGAAACCATATCGGGCCGGGCCGGGGCGCCACCCCCTCGGGCCAGGGCCGGGCTCGGGCCCAGATAATAGGCCCGTGCAGGGCTCTACTCCAGATGCTGGGTACTGCGCTTTACTTGCCGCTGATATCGCGCTCCATCTGTTTCTTTAACATTATTGTGGCCTAACCGCAAGGATGGTGTCCAGTCAGGGTGATTCTCCAACATCTCATATGATGGTTTACCTAGAACAGAATAATGTATGTAGTCAATGCTTTAAACTGGCAACAAGGTAGCATAATGTCATGAACAGAATCTCAACTATTTTTAGCAATCTCATATAATGGTTTACTTACATCAGATTAATAAAATTATTAAACAATCTGGAATCTAAAGAAATATTAAACAAGAAGGTAACGCTATTCATGGTTTCATAAAAGGGCTCAGGGGGTAGTGGAAACACAAGACAAAAAAAAAGTTTGGGCACCACTGGTTTAGAGAACATAAGAGACAGAGACAAACACACTTTGAGTGCCCATATTCCACCAACAAGGTAGGATAATGAGCAGAAACTTAAATATTCTTAGTTAACATTAATGGTTGGCCATTAAGCATTTTCATAGAGGCAACAGTTTGTTAGATAGTTAGCTAGGCAGCTAACTTAAGATGCACTTCAGTGTTTGCAACATTAACAGCTAGGTAACCTACACTTCTTAACTTTAAAAAAACAACATAAAGACATTTTAGGACGTACCCGAGTGAAAATGCAGAGAACACACTCTCATCGACTGGGGGTGAGATCGAAAGTAAGGTCCTTTCTTCTTATTGCAGCCAACCAAGCCATCCGGCGTCTCTTCGTCAGGTCAGACACTTGCGCTCCCTGATGTTGTATCCATTTTGGTGGCCTAAAAAATTGTAAACCGTTGTTCCTACGTTTTCCTTTCTTATTGTGTGAGGTACTGGAGCAGTTTTTCACACAGCAATGAGCTCCAGGCATGGTAAAACAGAAATAGCGACGACCTCCTTTGCTACCGAGTTAACAACAACAAGTGTTTGCCGCTGGGTTCCTACCAACATGGCGGAGACGGGGAGGGGCTCTGTGCTATGACGTCAGCTCCTCACTCTCAATAGATTCATGCACTGGCAATTCAAAATACAGATAATATACAAAATATACTTAACAAAATCCACGTATACGTGAGAAAACAACTTATTTTCTGTCTCCAACTCTTTTCAATGTGGAAATGATACATCTATATCTAAAAACTGTGCAGACTGTGTACTTACTAGAGAGGGTGATTCCAAGTAGCTAAATAAAGCAGGGCGACAGCGTTGAGTTTCGCTGATCGCTCTCATTTGTCGCCTCCCGTGTGTCGAGCCCTTCAGGCTGTAAAGCCGTTATACTCGCGCGGCGCATAAGTGTGCGTCGGTTGTTTAGGGTGTTATGTATTATTTTGTCACAGTAGTCTGTATAAATGCCTGGCCGTGGTGTAGCGGTTGCGTAATGAGACTTCAGTCCCAACGACGCAGGTTCAAATCCCCGTCGGAAAACTTTTGACTTTTTACTTTTTAGCGAACAATTTTTCTGTTTGGTTAAAAACGAATAAACACTCAACATAAGATTATGTAGTGGCTAATAATAAAACTTGTGAACCCATGCATTTGCATACAATCTCAAGTGCTCACCCCTTATTTGCAAACTTGAGATTGTTAGCACAACAAATGCATACATTCACAAGTTTTATTATTAGCCACTACGTAATCCTATGTTGAGTGTTTATTAGTCTTTAACCAAACAGAAAAAAATTGTTCGTTAAAAATCAAAACAAACGACAATAGCTCAGTTGGTAGAGCATTGGCCTTTGAGCCTGAAGGTCATGGGTTCAAGCCCACCGTAAGACCTACTTCACGACTCCCACTGATGACTGCTGTCGTTGTGTCCTTGGGTCCTTGAAGCTCCCACTGAAAGATCTCAGCTCCTGTGGACTCACCACCTGCAGGAGGATCAGTGAGAGGCTGGTACTCTGTGTACTGGGTGCAGCTCTGACTGCCACCCCCCCGACCCAGAAATGGATTAAGGGGAAGAAAATAGATGGATGGATGGATACATGCAGTACTGTATATCTCCTTAAATTTGTTTTTCAAATTTGGACAATATTGTGCATATGTTCAAAATGTTGTTATGAATGCCAATCGCTTCACGTACAGCAGAAAATACCTTGCAGATTACATTATATAAATCATTTAAGTTTACCCTTTAAAAAGGACATTTTTAACAGTGTTCTAAGACAAAACTACTGAGCCTATGGTCATTTTTCTATCATTTCTTCTGTTTCTTGCCATGGTCTGGAGCAGGGGTTCTCAACTGGGATGCTTTGTTCTGATTTTAAATTGGGACCCAAAACATGGGTTTTCACACATCATGTGACCATGGAGTGACCATGTGACCTAGGAGTTATTATTGATAGCACCTTCAGGATGGACAAGCAAATCACTTCAGTAATCAAAGCTAGTTTTTATCAGCTCCGGGTCTTGAGCAAAGTGAAAGATTACATCCCACCCTCTGACTTTGAGCGAGTTATCCACCTTTTTTTTTTCTTCTAGGTTAGATTACTGCAACTCGTTGTATTGTGGTCTGGACCTCGGCTCATTAAAGCGCCTTCAGCAGAATGCTGCTGCTCGTTTACTCACAGGGACACGTAAGAGAGCGAGCACATCACCCCTGTGCTGGCCTCACTTTACTGGCTCCCTGTTACTCTCAGGGTTGATTTTAAGATTCTGATGCTTGTTTTTAAGTGTTTGAATGGTTTGGCCCCTGTATATCTGTCAGAGCTGTTATCTCTGTCTGCTCCTGTCAGATCAGTGAGGTCTGAAAACCAGCTTTTGTTGAACGTGCCTCGGTCTCGTCTCAAAACTCGTGGAGACCGAGCCATTTCTGTTGCTGCCCCCAAACTGTGGAATAGTCTACCTCTGTTCATTAGAGCAGCTCCTTCTTTGGAAGTTTTCAAGTCTAGTTTAAAGACACATTTTTACACCTTGGCTTTTAACACTTTTCAACCACTTTACTTTTACATGTATAAGTATGTATTTTATCCTGTTTTATTATTTTTATCATTCGTGCCTATGAAGCACTTTGGGCAGCTGGTGTTGTTGTAAATGTGCTATTGTCACGTGAGAATTGAAGAAATAAGGAACCCAAAATGCAGGACTGAAAATGTAATTTTATAAAAATCGAAATCCAGAGAGACAAAAAGCACAAAAATCCATAACTGAAAAACTAGACAAGACAAACTTGGTTGAGACAATGGACGGACAACAAGTGGGGAAAAGCACAGCCCAGAGGAAAATTTTACTTCTCATACATGTCTATTCTTAAGCTTCTGGAGACAAAAATGTGATTCTCATCTGTTGCTCCTAAAGCATTTTAGGAGCAACAGATGAGATCAGAGTTTGAGACATAACTGAGACATGAGAGAGAAACTGTTTCTATGGCTTATTTTGTTTCTCTTCAAATGCGTTTAGGAGCAACAGATGAGACCAAAAAGTGAGACCTACTTGAGACACATTGGAGAATCTGTGTTATGCCTCAATGACACCTACCATGGAGACAAAAAACAGACTTAGGCTATATCCACACGAAGACAAAACGCTTATAATTTCAGAAACTTTTTCTGTAAACACGGAGTTAGCTCAGTAAATGTGTGCGTCCATATGAATGTAGTCAATACGCCTGAAAACGCTGTGAAACTATGCCAGACCTGTTGGTGGCGCTGTGACGCAATGACGGGATCAAGCCCAAACTTCCGTGGGCATGCGCGGTATTTTGTAAACAGACAACATGGCGAGTGGGCGAGCTGGTACTACATTAGTATGGAGGACGATGAGGTTGAACTGTTGCTTCGGGTCACACTGGATTACAAAACCAACAAGCTACATTGTTGTTGTCATTATTTTCTGAGTGCGGCGCATGCGTGCTTTAACAAGAGGCGGGGCGATGACGCAAGCGTCTCAGATACATTGCGGAGAGGCAGTAACCACGGAGCGGCATATACGGAGTTTTGAAATCTTTCCACTCTGGGACCTAGTTTCAAAAATGTTCGTTTACACCCCCCCAAAACGCCGGCCTCGTATGGACGATACACTGGATTGATAAAGTATTTTTGCGTTTAGGCCTGAGCTTGACTTCGTGTGGACAGGGTCTAAAACTGCTATGGAGAAACATCAGGCAGTCAAAACTAAATCTCTAAATTAGGCTAAAACAAACCGAAAGTACATTATAAATACAAATAATATGATTAAACGATGTCCAAAGCTCAACTTGACAAAATAAAATATTATAATAATACCAGCACAGAAATATTTTAGAATACCATATAAATTTAGTGAATTATGGTATTGCACAGATAAATACATATATTAAAACATCTCAAGCAGCGTTTTGCCACAATGTTGCTAGCCATCTGACACATCCTGAATTACATTAGGCCCTAGCGCCTGTTGGCTATTGGTCAACGCATCGTATTATGTCCGGCCTCCTAAAAAGTCTGGTCAAACCCTGGTTTTACCACAGTTACTGACTAACCTGTCCATATGCATACAGTAGGTCCCATTCCGTTTTGTCGCCTTTCACACGTGAGTCTCGTGTGATTCACGCGTCTTTTATTTTCCCCCCTCCCAGTGACGTTGCAATGCCCAAAACAACCACCAGGTGGCACCTGTGAGCAGGGTTACATTGGCGAGTTTCTGCCCCGCGCACATCGACAATCTGGTTAAAACGGGCAACTCCTTGTAGCAGGCCAGTCTCTGGAATAACCCGCAGACATTAAAACTACTGCATATAACGTAAACTTTTGCATCACGTTGGTGATCTTTCCAAAAAGAGAGAATATCGTTATGGAAAGAGAAACTATTGGTAATATAACGCTGAACGTTATTTGACTCAAACAGCTCCGCTGGTGTCTCCTCCCACTCAGAAAAAAAGCAGACGCCTTTTCTCTGGCATCTCTAACATTTATAATAAATACATAAATATAACAAGAGTAGAGTAGCTTTTGATTAGTATTTATTATTTATTATTGCTTTTTAGGGGCGACAGTAGCTCTTTCCCAGCATTTCCCACCTCTGCACCTTCTCCACCGACTCCCACTGATGACTGCTGTCGTTGTGTCCTTGGGCAAGACACTTAACCCCACTTTGCCCAAAAGCTCCCACTGAAAGATCAAGGCTATGCTCACACTCAGAGAGCAGCCGTCCTCCTGTGGACTCACCACCTGCAGAGGGTCAGTGAGGGGCTGGTGCTATGAGACTTGGGTGGCAGCTCTGATTGCCACCCCCCTGACCCAGAAATGGATTAAAGGGAAGAAAATGGATGGATGGATGGATATTGCTTTTTAGTACATCTATTTATGTTTTTAGACACATTCTATTTGTATTTATTTTTATAATTTACTATTTTTAATTATTTATTGTATCTACCCATTTACTATTGTTATTATCAATATTAGGCAGCTGCCATTTTTCTTTTTATTGTCACATTTTATTGTTAAATATACAATATATAATGGAAACACTTATTTCGATATAGCGGAGGAAGCCGAGCTGAGCTTTATTCAGTGAGTTTTGGCTGCGCTTCGTGTGGAGACTTGGGAGATACGTGGGAGAGGCATGGGGGAGAGACGGAGGAGAGACGGGGAAGAGACGGGGGAGAGACGGGGGAGAGGCATGGGGGGAGAGACGGGGGAGAGACGGGGAAGAGACGGGGGAGAGACGGGGGAGAGGCATGGGG